GTTAATAACTTGAGATCAAGCTAAATCCGGGAGAGATATCAAGAATATTTAGAACTGTAGCGCCATCTGTTGAACATTACTTCACAAGTCATTAACTTTCTTCAGATGAGCGGTTTACACAGCCCAATAAGATACTAAGATGATACATTTTAACTACACTTCGTAGTCCACCGATGGCGCTATAGTTATTTCATATTTTCTTGTTAAATCTCACTGATTTATCTTGGGCTCAAGTTATTAACTTTCTGCGTGACCCCAAGTGCGGACGTGGGTACGGTCCCATGCTTCGCCATCTGTTGAATAATGTTCAACAGATGGCTCTTTTTCTTATTTCATATGAACATGAACACGATGGAAGTAGTCCCATGCTTCGCCCTCTGTGGAGTAACGGCCAACAAATGGCGCTACTTCTTTATTTCATATGAATATGAATATGAATACTATGAAAGCGTGGGACTTCAACTTCACCAGCTCATATGAAATAAAACGGTAGCGCCATCTGTTGAAAATTACTCCACAGATGGCGAAGCATGGAATCGCTTCCTTAGTATTCATATGAAATCATAAAAAGCGCCATCTCTTGAACAATACTCCAGAGATGGCGAAGCGTGGACCGTACCCACGACCGCGCTTTGGGTCACGCAGAAAGTTAATAACTTTAGACCCAGTTAAATCATCGAGAGTTAAGCAAGTATGAAATAAAAGTGCAGCGCCATCTGTTGAAAATTACTCCACAGATGGCGAAGCATGGAATCGCTTCCTTAGTATTCATATGAAATCATAAAAAGCGCCATCTCTTGAACAATACTCCAGAGATGGCGAAGCGTGGACCGTACCCACGACCGCGCTTTGGGTCACGCAGAAAGTTAATAACTTTAGACCCAGTTAAATCATCGAGAGTTAAGCAAGTATGAAATAAAAGTGCAGCGCCATCTGTTGAACATATGTTGTAATGTTCAACAGATGGCGCTTAGAGTTTTATTTATACTTTCTTAGCTCTCGGTGAATTAGCATGGTCTCAAGTGAATAACTTGAAGTAACCCCCTAAGGGGGGTGGTTGGTGGGCGGAGGTGGGGCGACGCGAGTCGCAAAAAATCATCCCTCCATGAGGTTTTAGTCTACAGATGGCGCTTACAGTTTTATTTA